TATATATATTTGTTTTGATCTAATAAAGATACAGGTGTAGCTTCTGATATATTGAAATATATATCTATATATTAGTAAGTATTAGAACATGTGTGAGAGCTCGTAAACAGACAGAAATTGCTCAAACTCAGCAAATAGATGCAGATGCTAAACAACGATTTAAAGGTAATAAATTTACGATTCAATTGTCTCAATAGTGATCTTAGTAGTTATATCCTTTTTATTATAGTTGTTGTAATAAATGAGGCTGATGAAATCACGCGTGAAGCTCAAGCTGCACTTCGGCGCACAATGGAGAAATACATGTCGAATTTGAGGATTATTCTTTGTTGTAATTCTATGAGCAGAATCATCGAACCGATTCGCAGTAGATGCTTGCTTTTAAGAGTGCCACTGCCTTCGATTGATGAGGTTGGCCTTTATTTGGACGTAAAATGTTATTTATTAATATTCTGTAACTAAAAATTTTCTTTTAACTAGGTTTCTACAATTCTTCAAAATATCGCATCTAATGAAGACATACGTTTAAGCAGGACTTTAGCCGATCAAATTAGCAAACATTCCAAAAGAAACCCAAGAAAGGCTATTTTGACTTTCGAAGTCATGGCATCCCAAAAGTATACAATATATTCTGTGTATTGATCGGTTGATTGATTGTCTATTAACTTTTCCTTTCATGAATAAGCAAAAACTTGAATGATAAGACTGAAATTCCAAAAATTGATTGGGAACAAGCGATCGACGAAATAGTTAATAAAATCGCGAAGACGCAAACAGTCGAAACGTAATATTATATTCTAAATATTATATTTTAATCCTAGATCATGTAGTAGAAATTAGACTAAAATAATAACTTATTATTACCACAGCTTAAGTACAGTTAGACAGAAGATCTACGAACTTCAGAGCCACTGTATTCCACCACCGCTCATTCTGAAGGTGAGTTTATCTTTTTTACCGCATGAGTATATAATATTATCAAGGAAAGGCCTGGACTTGCCTATGTTTATACTATGATAATACAATTAAAAGCAATGAGGATTAGCTATTCTATTATGTAATCCGCAATTACCGTATTGTCGCAGAATAACGCGCAGGGGTGAAATTAAGAATTTCGGCCTAAATTAAGCTTAATTCGGGCCATTATTCTAAATAACGCCCATGCCCGTTATTTCGCGACAGTACGGTAATTACGTGACGGGCGTAATGACAAATTATTACTAAGATAGTAATCACGTACTTTAATTACGTATTATCATAATATAATCAGATGATTAGAAGCTGAATCCGCTAAAAAATAATATTTGCATATTATATATTAAAATCCACAATAATTTTATAAATGCATACACAGAAAATAGCATTGGACCTTTTCACGAATAAAAGTATCCCTTCCAATGCAAAACTGGTCATAATTAATAGCGCAACACACTATGTATGTGATTTTGGCTATTTATTATTTTTTTTAACGACCAACGCATTTTTACTGACAAGTTACATATAAAAACAACGTAGGATCATCGTCTTCGAACCGGAAGACACTCAATATTTCATATTGAGGCTTTTATATCAGCTGCAATGAGTGCCATTCTAAGGTTTTTTTTTTTTTTTTTGAATAGCAAGTAGATTATATTTTAGAATTAATTTTTTTTTTTTTTTTAGCTCAAAATATTCTTAGAACTAGGATGATAAAGTTAGTTTAGGTTTGGTTTATGTTCTAAAAACTTTAGGTTCCAAATTAAAACCCAAGAACCAGGTTTTTATATAATAAGCTCCAAACCAAGTTAAACCTGGTTTGGTTCAGAACCAAAATTTAAAACCCGGTTCTCAATCTTTCGTAATACATAAAAATAAAAATATATTAATAAAAAGTTAATTTGTATCAAGCTTTTAGAAAATATATATCTTTGATCTTCTGAATAACTTTACTTAATAGTTAGGGATGTCATCCTGCCTAAAATGCTTAAATCTGGTTTGCTTAGAACAATTATTTTTCGAGTATGATTTTTTGCTACGTACTAATCAAACCTGTTATTAATACCTTTTATTAAAAAAATAATCTATTTTTAACAAATATACGTATATTATATTACACGAGGCACATCCTTACTCAATATGCTAATATTGATTTATTGAATAAAATTAGCTTTTATAAGGTAAAATGGGAAAATATGCGAGGTGGGTAAAGTAGTAAAAGTTAACACAGGTATGTTAAATAGAGTCTAATAATTCCTATACCATTCAATTTGTCTCACCAAAGATAAATCAAAGAATATTAATTTTTGATGTCGATTTCATCAATTTATTTAGTTAGCGCTTAACGTTAATTGTTATCTGTATTTATTTAGTTTATTTAGTCTTTTTTTTATTACTGTACGTATAGCGATAGCGCTTAACGTTAATTAGTTATCTGTATTTAGTTTATCTAGTCTTTTTACTGTACGTATAGCGATAGCGCTTAACGTTAATTAGTTATCTGTATTTATTTAGTCTTTTTACTGTACGTATAGCGATAGCGCTTAACGTTAATTAGTTATCTGTATTTATTTAGTTTATCTAGTCTTTTTTTTATTACTGTACGTATAGCGATAGCGCTTAACGTTAATTAGTTATCTGTATTTATTTAGTTTATCTAATCTTTTTTTTTTTTTTTTTATTACTGTGGATATTCACAGAGAATTCGCGTATATTTATAAAGAATTCGCGAATATTCAAAGA